TTTCCTAAAAAAATAAAAATAAAAAAATACCTCTTACTGCTGTTTGTGCTTTATATTAGATTGTTAAGCTAGAGTCGCTCTATAAAAACTTTACTGTTTTTATTAAGCTTATACTGGTGACGTACTTGGTCTACTGTCCTTAGAAGGGATGTAAATAGGACAACATATAAACCTTGACAACTGTGAACTTTGCATTTAAGCTATAAATTCGATGGGCACAAGGAAAGTATAGTAATCTTTCTGTTCTGTGTGAAATGTTTAGTGTATGGGATTATGGCTCATGTGTAGGGTTGCTATGGATGACAGTATTAATAATTTATTTCTTTAAGACTGCTTTTATATTAACCTATTTATAACATGGAACTCCTCACATTCCTATGACATTAACAACTGCAAGGCTACAAGCACAAGTGTTTGAACTGATATACCTGTTGCTCAGCCACTGAAATACCATTGTCTGATTCTAACATTGCTTTGAGGATAAGGGCCCTTTCTCAATAGGACCTTGTGCAAATAGTGGTTTCAGAAGCAGAAACAGGTGTCCTGTCAGAGTTACTGAGATGGTAATATCTTTTCCTGAGGGATCAGAGGATGAGAGGGGCCACATTGCAGCACCTCATGGAATGACCTAAGGAAAAAATGGCACAGTCACACTGAGGAAAATGGAATACATGTGACTTACTCATATTATACCCTGAAGAGCTGTAGAAACACCCATACAGCATTTGAAGTACCTTTGTTTTTTTCTGAATGTCAAGATTGCTGTTGCTTTTGAATATGACTTCAAGAAAAATAGTTTGCTGCTCAGTCTTACCCGAGAATGTGTGAAAATTTACTCCATGTCATGTGCTACGATGATACTTTTTAGTCCAGTGGGGGATGCAAAACAGTTTCCAAAGGTATGAAAAACGAGGCTGTAAACTGCAAAACATAGGGACTAAGATCCCTGGCAGTATATGAAAATTTGAAAGACTGGCAACTTGTGACTGCTTCCTTTTGCAGTATTTCAATCTTGACATGCAGCAGCCTTTTATTACGCTGGCTTTGGGCACCTTCTTTGCAGGACCACCAATAGTGACCAATTGCTGCTCAGTTTTGCAGAATTGCTTGGATGATCAAACACAACATTTTCTCTTGAGACCCAAGTCTCAATTAGAGCTTGAGCCCATGGAGATGAAGAGCTTGTCTGTTAAAACAGAACACTGCTTGCTGTTACCTTTGCCAGCAGGCTGCTCTATGAACAGCTGCTGTGGTACAAAAGGCCAAAGGGAAGAGCCTCAGTTTGACCTAGTCCTTTCACACCCCCAAGTCATTGGAACATACCCAAACTACAGGCAGTCTTTCCAGTGCAGAACAGGCTGTACAGTTGACTTTAACTGAAACGTGAATCATCTCAGTCCTAAATTATTTTAATCCAGTCATCTGTGTTAAAGGGTGTAAAGAGACAGCAAAGCAGAAAGAATGGTTGCCAAGTAGAGGATACAGGACACAAATAAAGCTGCTAAGATGAGATGAAATATGAACTAATAATGATTTATTTCAAATGCCACTGGGATTATAGTGGGAATCACTTGGAGAGATAATCAGGTGAAAGGAATTTTGTAGGCTCTCCCCTGAATGATTATTACAGTCTCAGTAGAGGCAAAGGGAAGGCAAAGCTGTTAGTTACACCAGGAGTACACAAGAGTTTTGCAGTGCTCCCAAATAAATTCTCCCTAATTAATACAGGCTTTTCAAGCCTTTCGTAAGTAGACAAGCATGAACAGCTGTAGTTCTTTTTATAGATACAAACTAATCTCTAGTACATGTTGGAGTTGAAGGATATAGAGAACTACATGCTGTGGATTCGTAAGGCTTTTCTAGCCATGGAAGTATTCTTTTTATATCCTCTAAAAGTAGAAGGGAATGCAGAAGAGTGCAGAGTATAGTCTTCAAGAATCCTGCTTGGGAATAAAATCATGGCAAGAGCAAAGGGTCTAGCTCTTAATGACACTTACCATGCACTTCTTATTAACATGTGAATGAGCATTTGTGAGTTTTGACCTATTGTCTTGACAGGTTCAGCCTTTTGTGACCCATATGAAATGGGCAGAATTCACTAGCATTTCTTCCCAGTTTCCACTTGCGTGAATGGCCTTCATGACAAAGGATGGGAGGAATTACGTGCTTCATAGTTTTTAAAATAATTTTAAATGCCTAAGCAGTAAGTCATAATAAAATTCCTCAGCCTTAATGAATATCTTTGAACATTCTTCCTGTTTGAAGATTATATGTTTTCTCTCTCTCTTCATTGCTGGCTGTATATATTTTCAGTTTAGTATTGTCCTCTGCCTGGAGACAATATCCGCTTGTGGTAGGTGAAGGGAGTAACTGGAATAGCTCCTTTCCATCTCTAATGTCCACGATTTTATTTACATAAAAGCATCCTGGATTTTGAACAGTTTGTTTCTTTTGGCAGTTTATTACCAGCCTGAATGTCCCACTTCTTCATGATCTAACATTTGGCTGCTGCAGAAGTCATTATCACCTCCATTTTTAATAACCTTGCTTTTAATAAACCTCAGTTTGAAGTAAGTTTCCACAAGTTTCCTTCAAAACTATGCCCCAGATCTTCTGGAACTCACTGGTTACTTTTTTGCCCCTCAGAGGAATAAGCTGGTTACATTTTTATTGATCTTATGACTTTTTCTGATGTGACACAGGAAGAACTGATTTACTTAGGGCAAAATGACTTGCTGGGTTCTCTCCATTATTGCAACCAAAGAGAGAACTAACTACTAAAGGGCTCATGGGGAAGAACTGTTTCAATAGCTCTTTGTGCCCTGTGCTTTCTGGCTCAGAAGGTATATAGCCCCACTGTGGACTGACTGTACCTCATAACTCTTGTGATGCAGACTGCTATGGATTGCAAATGAATTTTGTCCATTTATTCTCGTGCACTGGAAGGAGCACTGGGGAGAAGCAGAAAATCACTGTTTCACAGAACTCTTCTTTTTTGATTTCAGAGGAAATAAGTGCAAACTCGCGGATTTAGTCACTGTGGGGAAAAACTCAGCTATAAGAATACTGCTGTTTAGGGAAGGGAAAAATGAAAATGCTGAAGTGGGGATGGTGTGGATTCCACACATCTGTAGAACAGCTATTTTTAGGCAACTAACCCTTATCATCCCAAGATTCACTTTAAAAAAGCACATCTAAAGGTAAACCACTTTGAAGTATTAAAAAGTAGATATATTGACTTGCCCATAAGACATTTCAGTAAAAAAAATTGCTTTGAATTCTGCATTCTTCTCATGAAACCTGCTAAAGGAAAGTTGGAAGGAATTTCCTAATACTTTCTCATAGCTCTGGGGAGGTTAGCTAAGAGTGGGTTAAACTGGTCCCTTAAGAGACTGTCGGAAAAAGAAGCCAGGTATGGAAAGGACCATAGCGTTGTCCTCAGTGTTACCCCTTTCTCTTTCCCCAGAATCTCAGAAATGAAAACCACGATCTGAGACTTCAAATTACTGCTCAAGTGCATTGCCTTTCAATTGGATTGTAGAAGAAAATGAAGGAAAATGTGTCATTGATGAGAGAAGGGAGCACTGACTGTGTGTTTAAGTTTTCATTTGGTTGAGGTACTTCACAATAATGAAGAAACCATCTTCAAGAAGTAATGTACATTTTTTCCCAAACCTCTCAGCTTTAGCTATGTAATAGCTTTGAAGTTAAACTAAACTAGGTGAACAATGGACAGTTTTGAATCTCATACTTCCCTTTCCTCTGAAGTTAATGCTAGGAGGCTTACAGGTAAGACCCATGGCAGTGGTGGTATATACCTGAGCACAGTAAAATCTGAGTGAAAGAAATTGTTTCATGAGCTGCACAAAAAAGAAATAATAAAATTACAGTGTGACTCAGATCAAGAAGTGAACTGCTGGAGGGAGTTCTGATGTTGAAAAGCTTACTCCTCTTGCTTTTTTCCTTGCTTGTCTTGTGTTGTGTCTTTGTAGGAGCATTTCAGAGCAATGTAGGAAGGTATTCTGGATTCAGCTGGTCTGTAGTTGTTCTAGAGGTATTGGATAAGGAGACATTCTGGCTTGCACTCTCACTTAGCTGTTGGACTTCTTATTTTGCTTGTGGCTGTTGACCTTAGGGTACAGGAAACCAGAGTGGTATCCAGAAGGCAGCTCTACTCCTTGGACATTGCTGTATGTTATTGTGATGCTGGGTATCTGAGCTGCAGATGGTCCACAGTGAGACTGTCCTTTTCTTTGTCCAATACCATTCAGGCTTTCACCTCTCTAAAGGTTGCAAGGATTTTAAAAAAATGAACATCATAAATATCTACAAGGAGATCAGGTTGCATCATCTATGAAATAGTGGCATATATTTAGATAAGCACTTTGCCAATCTGCATCACTAAAAACCAAATATGGAGGAAAAAAGTAGGTCTGAATATTTTTTTAGTATTTCATGAACAACTTATGAGGAAAACAAATGTTAAACAAGTTCAGGTATTAAAGCACAGACTTTTCATTTGCTACTTAAGAGCTGGTCTACTTTGATGAAAGACCAAGCTAATGACAGAACATTTGACTATGAGCAGAAGTGCTGTGAATATGCTCAGACAGATTATGAATTCAAGTAAGTAAGGAGTCCCTCCATAAAGAGGGACTATTTAGGTTCACTGGGTCAAGAGGTGATGTGCAAGGTAGTGATAACAGCACAGATGGTTGACGAGGGAAGCAAACTAGAGAATGAAGTGAAAACAGGAATTGAGGAAAAGATTAATTAGCATTTTTTGGCAATGGTTATGCTATCTGTCACTTTCACAGGACCAAAAAATGAGTGTTAGGATAAGGATAGCAATAGCTGGTAGGAATCACTGGTAGAGGTCACTGGTAGGGGTCACTGCTAACAGTAAGACGTAATGTAAGATTTTTGTATGACATTTGGCTTAATACTGCAAAGATAAAACTGGCTTGTTTGCATCTGTCAACTGTTCTCTCTTATTTCCGTGTCTTGTGTCAAGAATTAAGGCAAGTTGACTCACTTGTGGCAGATGTAAAAAAAAATATTTGTCAGTATTCTGTAGCTTTGTTACATGGAAGGAAAAATAGACATTAACATAATATCTTACTGAATAGGTGATATAGCGTGTTTCAGAAACTTACCTTGATTTCCTCCAAGCTGCATTTTTTAGATGTTTGCTGCTACCCAAAACCGAGAACATTAAATAGTTTAAAATGTCACTTTGTACAGCGGTATGTGCCACAAGACTATGGCTGTCTCATAGGTACAGTCATCAGGATGGCTATCTCAGCTTACTTTGCATATTATTTGTATAAAGATGGCACAAAATTAATGCTTTCATGCTCCACTAAGGAAATAACAGACCTCATCATGAGACCTACTGAATTCAAGAAAATATTCAAGTTCCTTTAAGAAGCTGGACTCAGGAGAACCTTGTAGTACATGTGTCTTCCTTTGGCTTAGTTTCAGCAATGATCTGCCCTTTTTGGTCATGTTTTCTATATTCTGCTGGGAGTATCATGTGATTTGTGCATCTCAAAAAATAATTTATTTTGTGCTTAGAGACTGAGTTGTCATTAGGTTTTGTTCCCTTGGTTAGTTAGATCCATGCGAAATATTAAAATAATAATTCTTACAGTAGGTGTAGCAGTGTACTCTGTGACATGCAATTCCACCATGGATATGTCATCAGCATCTACAGCTGTCTGAAAAATACACACAGATAAGAAAGACATAAATGACATGAAGGTATCTCACAATATTTTACATACGTGAAATTCAAAGTATAGTTTAAAAAAAAGGGGAGACAAAGGAGGACTGATAGAAAAGTAGTGATGTGCTAAAGCTCGCCTTGTTTTTTATCTCTCACCATATGTGTTTGTTTGATAGCAAATGGTGAGACAACACAATTGACCAAGTGATTTGAACAGTGAAATACAAATATTACTAAATACACACTTAAAACCAAACACAAGGCAACATACCATTCAGATGCTAAGTTCACTAAAATAGCACCATTGCTTGTCAGAAGTGCAACAAAGGCAGCTGAATAGTGAACCAGGGTGGAAATAAATAATTGATGACCTTTCACAGCTTCTTAAGCCTTTACTTAGTGTGTTAATTCATAGGTTATCCCCATCTTCTTGAGAGGAACCATCATGATTAATTATAGTAAAATGTGCAGATTTGTTAACCTACCAGTTGTAAGAGAATTTAGATATTACACAGTCTATTACCTTCTCACAAATCCCAGAATCATGGCTCTTCAGTTTAGGTTTGGCTCTTATGTCACTAGTTTCAGTTGTGCCTTTACCCATTTCGTAGGAGATCTGTCTGCTAGCAAGTCTGGAGAGCAAACTGGGGGAATCAGTTTCTGTGTCAGTACAACCCTAAAACGAATACAGCAAAAATAATTACTCTGGGTTCCTTAGGCTTCCATCAATTTGCCCCAAGAGAATCAGTTTTACCTTGACAGAAATTGTAAAATAAACAGAAATTGTATAAAAGACATTTCACATAAGTTATGCCATGCATGACTTCACAAAGTCTTTGCTTATGAGGCATACAAACAAAACTATCAAGTCTGTTGAGTCTAAAATTCAGCTTACTTCTTGTTTCTTTTTTTTTTTTTTCCCTCCAGAGGATGCACTGCAAAATGTCAAACAAAATAGTGTTTCATTATGGTCTGTTGTCGAAACTTCTCTGAGGCACATTATAGCTCTAAGGAGACAATGTTTCCATAGTAGTACCCAAATAGAAAGCACAGGTGCTTGGAGGAATTAGGGCCAAAGTTTCCAAAGTAGCTTGTGTGGAAGCAGAAATAAATGGAAGGAAATGACCAGGGACTGCAGAATCAGTGCTTCAGAAACATTTTGTTTCATGAACAAACTCTGATTTTCTAAACTAAAAGAGAAAAGTGAAAAGACAAAAAACCCAAACCCACCAGAATTTCCTAGAAGTGAAAAATTACTGAAGCAATTACTGATACTTTCAATATTTGATACTTTCAATTCTTGATACTTTGCTAAACTTTCCCCAGGAAGAAAACAAAAATAAGAGGTGTAGAAAAAAATGAACCCTGATGGAACTGGAGAAATTGTCCTGATCACCTTGTTATTATTAAGAGACAATCCTGATTAGTGATGCTATACCAGAATTTTAATACATAACAGATTGATTGCTTTAAGGAGGGTCAGGATAATTTTTTCTGGTAACTGTAGGGAAGGATAAGTGGAACAGAGAAGAAGGGGAAGGGAAAATTGATTTAATTTGGAACAATGACAATCAAGATTATATTTTCAGAAGAAGATTTCTAACTATTGGGGAAGCAGTGATGAAGGTGAATCTACAGAGTGAAGTGTCTCCAGACTGATATGTTCCCATGAAAGATCTTTTTAGAAGAGCTTAACAAAATAACCAGGAGGACAAGCTAAACATTTCTTTTCCTGCAGGCTCAACTATTTTCTGGACTGCAGCATTTTAAAAAATGTGTACTCTGCTTCCCATTCCATGCATAGATTGTAGTAGCACATATAGTCTGATTAGACTGAATTTCAAAGTGGAAGTAACTTTATTTTCTGAGCATCTGTTCTGGAGCTTGGGTATATTTCACTGCAAAGAACTGTGTGGAAATTGTTTCTTTAGAATTTTTCAAGGTGCAGAATATCTTTGCATCCACAGGAGTAAAAAAAAATAAATAAATGCATAAAGCTAATTTATTGTCTTACAGTTTGATGACCAGCCTCGACCTAAAATACATGGCAGCATATGTACTGCCTTTTTGAATTGTGGGTGTATATCTAGAAAGCTTAGAGCTTAATCGAGCCACAGATGGTACCAAAAAAAACCCACAAAATAAATTATCTGCGAGCATCAAAGCAATTTTGTTTGCTTTAAACTTGAGCCCTTGTTTCTGTTCTACTTCAGCTAAACCGACATACTTATTAATAAATCATTGTTCTATGGTCAAATCAAATAGTGAAGGAAAACATGTTCTTTTCAGAAAATCTTGGCTCTATCATAGTTCTGAACAAGATCCAGACTTACTCAAGGCTTAGAGAAAATTCCAGGGTGAAGCATGCCAATTGCTTGAGATTTTTTACTTTTGGATAACTACTTTGTACCTAGTTTTGTACTTTTTTTTTCTCCACTGTTTTACCTTGAGGATTAAGAGTTGCTTTCCTAAGAAAAAAGAATTGTTGAATTGCTCGCTTGGTTTCTCCTTCCCCAGCAATGATAGTAGTACAAAACTACACAATGTTACTGAAGGTGTCTGTTGGTTTTTTTAAGAATCAGGATTCACAATCTAAAAGATGCAATATAAAAAGGTTCTTTTTTTATTAGCCAGTGGCTCATATGGCCTGAGTGGAGGCTACTAGAATTTAATTTTGATTGGACTGAAGAAATCAAAATGTCAGTGTCAAAAACAACTGTAAGAATTCAGCGCTTGGCTGGATTAGATCCACGTATTACCTTGACTATGAAAAAGAATCACCAAGAAAATTATGGCTTTTCATATACTTGGAAATGTCATTTAAAACAATTGCAATGAACTAACTAATGTGCTTACTTACTTAGTAAGGTAACTTTGGAGTGCAAGAGAGAGCCTAAGATACTGAATCTCTGTTCTCAGCTGCCGTGCAAAACATTGTGTTTCACTTAGACTGGCAGCAGCAAGCTGTCGAGGTGATGAGAATGATTCTGTAATGAATTTGCTGATTTGTCTGAATCTAATGATTAATGTTTCCAAATATATCCCACTTCACTTTCAGAAAACATTATCTGTTCTATTACAACCTTGCTTTCACTAGAGAACTATTTAGTGACTAGCAGTTTCTTTTCTGTGTGTATCCAGACTGCGTATCTGTTATCAGACAAGTACATCCTAGAAGTATGAGCAGATTTTAAAGTATGAGAGTAAGGGATGCTCTGGCTCTAAGCATCCCTTATTTTCTAAAATTCTTGTTCCATCTTTCTACTCTTCCTTCAGTATCACCAACCATCAAGAGTACAAAGATCTACATTCTGCTTTTATAATTCAGCCTTCTATCTTATATTTCACTTTGTCTCTCTACTTTCTCTGGAGCTCTTGTAATGAGCACCATAATGCATTTCATCTAAAGAACATACCAATTTGAGGGACTCTATGTGAAAATTAATTACTTTGCAGTTAAAAATGTGTGTACAGGAAGCGTCTCCCTTACTGATTCACTGTCAGAGAGAGAAGACAGTCGCCTTTTTCCTTTCTGCGGCACGCTTATCTCAGAAGACTGGCTGGTTATGGTCGCTCGTCTGGAGGAGGGGTAACTGCTGAAAGACTGTGAGTCTTTAGCAGATACTCTCAGCAGGGATCCAAGACAAGGAACATATGTTGCAATGGCTGTTCTAATGGATGAGAGATAGAACCAGTCAAATTTTTTTCTGTTAGCACAAAACTTTAGTGATCATAAACAATGCATTTATTCAGAGACATGAACTAATGGCTTCATAGACTGGAAAATTTCTGAGTACAAAAAGAGTTTTCCAGATATCCAGTATCTCATATACAATCACCCTGCAAGATCACTTATTCACCGTGTTCTGCAGAACTAAAATTTATTGCTTGGCAGGGATAAGAGCATTAAAATAGAACTCTTTGGACTGAAGGGAGCTATTAAAATCATGTTTTATCTCCTTTCGGCTTAATCAGGGCAAAAATAAAATTCTGTCCCTTTAAACTGAACCCTGCAGAAGTACCACATAATGAATTATTTTAATCTTCCCCTAAGCAGCTCTTCTAGCTTTCTCTTACACATCTGTTTGCCAGCTATCTATGAAGTTGTACAAAATGTGCAGTTACATTACAATATTTCATTCCTCATATGCAGCATAAGGACATTTTTTGCTTAGCTTTCTTCTTCCTCCCAACGTTCCCCACTTAGATGTTCATGCCCACCTCTTCTCTATTCAGTTCTCCAGTAGGTCTTTGTAAAGCATATTGCTTTGCTGCCATCCTTCAGATCTCACAGCCTGCATCTGAACTTGGTATGGTAATGACCCTAGATGTTACAGCTCAGAAGAAATACTATCTGAAAAATGAAAGCTCAAAGAAAGGTAGGGGGGATGTACAGAGTAGGGAAGAGGTGGTTTGACTTCAAATTGCATCTCTCACTGGCCTGGTTAACAAACTGCTATTTGCAACACTGACAAATGTCTGCATCTCTCATGAAGGTAATGCAAAAAATTATGGTGCTTTCCTTTGATGTGGGAAGGTCTCTATATCATGTAACCTGTAAGTACAGATCAGAATCCATAAACATCTCTAACTCCTATGTGCATAGTAATTTGTTCCAAGTACAAATTCTACTGAAAATGTAGCATTGGGAAGTTTTCTAGGGTCTTGCAGAGGTAAAATGAGCAGATGAAGGAGAGTTCAGATTCTGGTCCTTTAAGTGACAGTTACTGTCTGATTTTCTTTACTATATTAAAAATAACTTATAAGAGTGAACTTACCTGTATTTGGGGTGAATGATGGCATAAATGATGGGGTTATAGATGACAGAAGCTTTGGCAATCACAGCTGGTATGGAGTTTGTGAAGGGTGTTAGGATGTGAGAATACCTAGAGTAATGCAAATGCATTATATATTTAGTATTGAGTTCTGTTTAGTCTATGCAGTTATACACTGTCAAGAAATGCTTTGTTAGTGCTCCAGAGAGAGTAAAAGGGTGAGTTCTGCACCCAGTGAGAGAATAAATTTTACATCCTTTGCCTGTAGTGGTTAACAGCAGCCTAATCACATTTCTGAGAAATGCTATTTTCCTGGGACTTCTCTTGCAACACTTCACTACTGTGACTCAGGATGGTGGTAATTCCCATGTTGTTTACCCTAGGGACAGTCAGCCTTCAGTAAGTGAATGCGCATTGATCAGAATATCTCTATTCCAAACTCAGCAGATATACTTGACCACAGATACATTTGTGGTTAATAGATAGGTGTTCAGAATGAAGCATTATAGGGAAAGACTGTTGTTCTATTAAAACTTTGTTTTTTGTCTGATCTGAATTAAAAAGTGAAGAGGAAGTATTTTTCTGAACTAAACAGTTAAGGGAAAATATTTTCAGGTGTCATATGTCATGCTACTATGGCCATGCATATATACAGGTGATATGACTCTAAGGGATAAGAGAATTATGATGCCATGCTGCTATCACCCAGTTAATTTTTGAAGGTAGCTTGAAGTAGCCCTTAAGGTTTTGGTCAGAAGAAATTCAGTAGAACAACTCAGACAAAAACAACAACATTTTATAGGCAGTTTCTAGCAGGCAAATTCTCCATAGACCTGCTTAGAGGCTATGAAGTTCTCTTCCTGCACTGGTAGAAAGAGTACTAAGTGAAATGGCCCAGTAAGTCATTCTTTCCTCCCAACAATAATATCCTTTTTGTATCACTGCTGTTCTTCCTGGGAAGACAGTCTAAGCTCCATCTTTCCATTAGCCTTGCATTCCTATATTATTGAAGAAAACAGGTTTTCCTCTCAATCCTCTCTCAGAAGAAGGTCTTTCATATACGTGCAGCAAACAAACAACAAAGAGAATTGTGTAAGTAGCTGGTAGCTCATTTTCCTGCTGAAGAAAT